ATATATACTTATATTATATATATAGTAGTATAATATATATATATATATATATATATAGTATATTAAGTGTGATATCAGAATTAAACATTTTCTTAGTCGTCAAAGAAACAGTTCTAGATGCAACCAACTTATGTAAGTGCCTCTAAGGAGCCCGAGCTGTACGAGCTTAGGGAAGGGACACGTGGAGAGGAAATGATTATTTGCAACACAGTGGCCGTAAGCCGAGAGGCTCGCTGTGGCAGGCAGGAGAAGTTTGCGAGGCACCGGCCATCAGCCGCCCCTGCAGCCAGCGGACTTCGCCTGCCATCAACGTCGCCACCGCCACCACCGCCGCCACCACTGCTACCAACTCCGCCGCTGCTGCAGACCCTGACACCGCTGCTATCACCATCGCTGCCCCCACTTCCGTCTTGCGTTCCGCCGCCGCCAACGTCGCCGCCATCGCTTTCGTCTCCTCATCTCCCGTCGCTGCCTTCGGGAGAATACCGACTGCAGCCCGCGGTCAGCTTTTTTTGAGAAGTTTACCTACTTCCCCGAAACAGTATAGCCTGACTTCATTCCGTTCGGTATTAGTCCTTACAGTAAGGGTTGATTTCCTGTGGCCTGGTTAGAAATTCATTGATCGATTAAAATATATTCGCTTCTGTTTGTTTAAAAAAAACATTTCCATGTTCTTTTACAGCACTACAAACGTTGAAAACAACTTTTAAAAATTTGAGGAAACAAAACTTGAAATTACCTTTTACGAGCATCTTCTTACTTTGCCGAATTAACATACAAACCCCGAATATTCTGATATGTTCACCTATGTTCGATGTTTCCTATGGGCTGGTGCAAGAACATCAATATGCGCTACTTATAAATGTAAACTTAACCAGAGTTTTTACGTCTTCCAAAACACCAGAAGAACGAAACCAGGCGGAGTCGAAATACGCCTTCTCAGGTAACGAAAAGTGAAAGAAAATTAGCTCGGAAGCAAGGATGAGGGAAAACTGACGGCGGGATGCAGTCGGCTGGATCTCGCCGCCCCAACCGCCGCCGCCGCCGCCCGCCGAGGGACGAAGAGCCAGTGGCCGGCGTTAAGGCGGCTTAAGACTCGCTCCCTGATGGGAGAGGGACGGTTTCGGCATCGGCGCCGTCACGGCCCAGTGGAAGCGAAGAGGCTCGACCCTAAAGGCAGCAAGGGACGATACGGTGGCAAACACTGTAAGGATAGTCGATTGTTTGGTGACCGGGGAAATAATAAGGATTACGTAAGCCGTGGAAAAGGTTACAAGGTTAATGAAACTGTAGGTTTGGATTAACACGCACGGATTATACGCCCTTAATTTAACTCATATTCATGATCCTTTAGAAGTAGCATAAGGTGGTATTTCTCTGTGGTTCAGAGCGAAGAAACGAAAAAATAATTGGAAAAATCTATTTTTTTTATTAAAATACCCTTACACTATTGTCAGTAAAATCTTTTCACTCTCCCTCCCCCCCCCCGCAGTATACAAATTCAACTGATTTGTATTTCACCGGATGTCTTCTTCGTTTTGCAACAATGGCATTGACTTGATTTGTAAATTGTGACTTGACAACATATGGAAACTGAAAATAAATGCCTTCTTATGTTTCTGGCCGTGGAATCATTTTCTATCCTAAAACCACCACCAGCTATCGCGTGCCAAAGGACTGGAGGAAGTCAACGACGGATCACAGTGAAGTGTTGAAGTGTAGTTACCTATATATTTGCGTAGGTAAATATTAATGTTTAATTGTTTAGGAGTTTTATTATTACAATTTTGAATATTGGGCACCAGAGAAGTCTCTCCGCGCCGAGTCGAATCAAGGCTTCCTATTAAAACTTCTGATTATGTTGGTAGCTACCAGATCAATGGGAAACAAGTGAAGGGTACACCGCTTCCAGCATCTATTATGATTGTGGCCAGTACGCAGTTTACGATTTCTTTTGTTACAAGTTGCACCTCATGCTCCGAACATAATTTCTCTTGCTAGAATTCCCTTTAGCAATGTGCTGTCGCGGAGAAACGTTCCTGGAGGACTGTACTTGTTATTATGAACACGTTATTTATTTATTTGTAACATAAACACTTTTCTGTACTAAATGCAGGATGAAATTATTTTTATATGCTTTCATAAATTGTATAAGAAACTTTTTGTTTTGTTGCAAACTGTTTTAGAGCATTATAAACTCTTAATTAAAATCATATGCAAATTATTTATATACGCAATATATGCGTTTTTTCAAATTAATTTCACAAATTAAGGATTTATTTTTAGGAATATGTTTTTGTTTTAGGATCCATATTTTCTGCAGGTTACTCAAGTTTTAAAGATATTATTATGATCCACAACATGGGAAAGGTCTTTTCAAATTCCCCAAAGAAAGACCATATAATAGGATTTTAATAAAGCTAGTCGACGAGACGTTGAAGCACTTATCTTATTGTAGGATCCTACGGGATTATATTTCTGATCCATAAATGGGACAGCTGTATATCGAGAATAATTTTAATGGAATTTCAACAGAGTTAGACTCAATTGACTCGTTGTAGTGATGTTGGCGAAGGTTAACCAACTATTTCATGTTCTATAAACATGAGAATCGAGTTTCTAATCGTCAATACGGGACCATTAACTGAACTTTCCAACCCAGAAAATACTATCTTGAAAATTTAATTTAGCTCGATGAAGAGTCATTATCGCACGCCTCTCATTGTATGGTTGTAAGTCAAAGCATTGAGCCTCACTAACCTCGTAATTTGTAGTGCAATATTAGAGCGAATATTTCAAGTACTACTTTCATCAGAAAGATTAGATTTACAATCGTTGACACGGGATCGCCGTCATGACTTCCCCGCCCGAAAGCAGGCGTCCATAAACCACTCACCTCGTTGTAGTCACCGTAGCGCGAGGAGTGCGCGAAGACGTAGAGGAAGCAGCGCGGGCGCGAGGGCGTGGCCGCGAGCAGGTCGGCGGTGCGCAGCACCGGCGCCGCCACGCGCGCGTCCGTCAGGATGTCGAGCAGCGCGTCGCGCGCCTCGTCCGCCGCCAGGCTGCGCAGGATCGAGTTGGGCACGTACGTCTGCGCACGCGCACCGGCAGGGCAAACACACACATGACATTGTTGAGGAAGTTGCAGACGCGGTTGTTTTCAGAAAAAGGAAGAGAAGAAAGGAGCGGCGTGGAGGAGGGGAGGGAAGCTGGTGACGTGACTGGATTAATTGATTATTAATCAATATTACTAGTTATTTCGTGCGCGACAACTGACAAGATCATTAGTCCCAAAAATGTAGTGTATGTGTTTTGCTCGAGAAGCGGCGGTGATGTTCGGCTGTATGGTGAGACCAAGCGTCGCCCTACCCTGGGCTAGCAGGGTTTTCCCCAAGTAGGTATTTCCCACCAGCCAAACATCGCCCCAGCCCGGACAAGCCCTAAACTCCCGGCCGGTCTTCCGACGTGTGTGGTAGTGAAGCGCGTGAATAGTGAAGTTGATGTAAGTGGGTCTGTGAATGGGAACGGGAAGGAAAGATACAGCGCGGTGCGTGGCACGTTTGTTATGGTACTACTCTGGCATTCGATTGGCATTGATCGGAGAAATCACGGCCATGAAACTACTGACCGACAGACATCTCCCCCAGACAGCGACAGAACTCGATCTAGCTAACTGGTTAGTGTCGAAAATCCTGATCAGGGCTGTCCGGGTGTCACCTCGTTGATGGCTGAGGTGCCGACGTGTCGACTGACATATCGCGGCCCTCTTCAGAGCTGTACTGCCTAGTACAGCTGTGGCAGTACAGCCCTGAAGAGGACCGCGATATGTCAGTCGAAAAGTCGGCATCGACGTGGTGTTACCCGGACAGCCCAGATCACGACTGTCCGTGGAAGCCTACGACATCACTGTCGGAAATCCTGTCACCGTCACGATTCAAACCCCAAGACCTCCTTGTCAGAGGCCCTTCAGTGACATCAGTTGATGACCTAAGCCACACCTCCTGGTACGCGACTCGAGAGGGTGGTGACAAAACAGAAATAAATGATGAGGTGCCGTCGGCGTGGTGCTCGACTAACGCAAGGAAAGGCAACGCTTTGCGATATAATAGAAATCATAGTGTTGGTTTGTACGATGTCTGGGTGTTAGATTGAATTGGATCTGGATGTTGGATTGAACGGTGTCTGTTTCTGGGCTTGTTCATTAGTCCCTTTAACGTTACGTCAACCTGTTAGCGTTCCGTTCCGTCCAAGTGCTACGTTCATTAGTCTCGTTAATAAAGTGAATGGATTTGTATCCTGGAGATGGCCATGATTTCTATCCTGCTGGATGCTGAAATCCAACTGAAAGCACACAGCGATTTGTTGGAGATTTATCTCTCTACCCGTACATCCCCTAGCGGATTATTGCCGCAGCCGGGTCAAGATTGAAGTCCACATCTGGTGTCCCGACTTGTGTGCTGATGCTTGCATGCGCTTGTGTGTTGTGGGAGACGATACGAGAAAAAAGAGGAACGAGTGGTCAATCACGATCCATCTCCATTTTGATGGGTTATTTGCTTCGATTCTCCTCTGGTTTTGATAGGAGGAAGTACGGAAAACATCCAATCAGAGAAGCTGGCCGATACAGTTCTCACCCCCCCCAGTAGCAGAAATCGTTGTAGATACTGTGTTAGCATCAGAAATCTTCCATCTCTAGGATCCGGACCTAACAGTCACATTCGCAGCATGATCAAACAAAAGAACATGCACCGACAAAAGGTCTACTTACGTTAGATAATGCAACACATTTCTCTGTCATGAATGTTTACTTATATATTACTTTTATTTGCACACTGATCTGGTTTTATTTGCAACTGTCTGGTCCAAATACTAATTCGTGATGCCCTAATGTCTAGGCAGCGATAAAGAAGATTAGGTCAATGATGTAAATATGGCAAATTGAGTGCTGGGGAAAAGATAGAACCATAAAAAAATCCTGTAGGGCTCTTGCACTGCAAATTAAATTTGAGTTGGGCAAGGAATCGAACTCGGAGCTGCACCGATGAAGGCATACGCTCAAACCATTTGACATGATCCCAGTCAGGGGACACTGAATTGGAAGTGCTGATGCTGCGCGGAATGGAATTGGTATTATGATGCAATTAGTGAAGTTAGAAATGGAATTTGGCGAAGATGCATCTACTATCGAAGCCAAGAAGACGTCTCGCAAAAAGGAAGGCTTTTTCTGTAATGAAAAATGTGTTGAAATTGGTAATAAATGGTACTGTAGTGCATTGAAAGATGCAGACTATAGTATACCCTGCCTAAATAAGAATACACCCATTATTTTCATTAATCTATTATTTCTTCTTGAACCAAGTGAAGCGTATAGAATTCGAATTGAAGACCCCATAGGAAGTGCAGTTATCTATAAAACGAATGTGTGTCATCTGGATGTTATTAAATGAAATACGGTAGAATATTGGTATATTCAGAAAATATGTCTGGAATGTTTTCTCACGAAACTGCTTCATCTTATGCACATATTTTTTGCAGTTTCGAAGATACGAGAGTTTATTAATTAAAATGTGTACTGAATATAAAAACTGCCGTACTAAATAATGTAATGGATATTGATATAGAATGCATCTTTAAGTGGTATCTCTATCAATGCGATTAATGTAGGTTTTATACAATAATACCTGAGTGGAAGGGGACGCGAAGAAATGTTTTCTTTAGTGTTAAGCGACTAACACGCAACTACAAACAATATTAGGTAATTTATGGAAGAAGGGAATATTTCAGAAATTGTTTTGGATTCCGGATATATGTTTAATCCATATGCATATGGAGAAATAATGTCTACAACACCTCATCATTTTCACATTTTATGTAAAATGTTTTATTTTATGATATTATGTGGGTAATTTGTGCACAAAAGAACTCAATATAAACATATTGTTTCATGCACGCAAATATCAAACATTTGTAGACATCTTAATGATCTTTGGCGCCAGGTCGCTTATTCATGGAAATGCACCCATCTCATCGGTTTGCAGTCTCATTGAAAGCAGGGACGCAAAGGGATTCGACGACTGCCAAAGTCGGGCGATTTTCACCGCTTGAAATTGAAATGCAAATTTCTCCTAAAGCGATTGAATGTTAGAAAGGGACTGAATGTAATAACTCATGAATTTGAATCAATGAAGAAGCCGCCGTTTGTTTGATTTTGGCGATCCCGGTGTTGCTTTTCCAGAAGCTGTAATTATTATTTGAAAAATGCAAACCAAATTCCTTACCAAGACATTTGCTTTGTGGATGAAAATATTTTTGCTTCACTATGATCTTCGACAAAAAAAAACTTATTCAGTCCTTCATTTAAAGAGAATATGCTATAATTGTGATTTTTGTAATGTGAATAACTTTTGAATCTGAAAGTAAATGTTATCAATATTTCCTTGCTTTGAACATATGGACTATTTTATCAGTTCACTTTACCAAAAAACTCAACTCATTTTACACTACTTGGACAGGCAAAACTTTATATTAATTTTTGCATTTTTGCAAATTCACAATATGTTTCGTGCGTTCAATTAATGAACCAAAATTAATAATAAACCTTTAATTTCATCATATTCTTCTGTAACTGACTGCTACCGTGATTTTCTCTCTTCCTACTTTTGTGACATTTGAGTCCACAGTTTTTACTGAAGGTCGTTCAATTTCAGAACAGATTTCGTTAGTGAAAGAGTATTCATTCCGAACGTGCTAACCACGACACCATTAATCGCTTAAATGTTGTATATCTTATATTGCTAGAGATGCTGTTTTCCCTTGTTGAAATGTGATACTACGGGTATACCTAACTGTCGGCTAGCGGGTTTCCCCTCGATGTAGCTCCCCAACGCAGCACCGGCCTATGCGAGACAAGCTCTAAGCTCTCCACTAATTTTTCCAGTCATGTACGAGTCTTGTATGGTACTGAAGTGCATGCAAATTAAAGTGCATGACAATAAGGAAAAAAAATAAGAAAAGGAAGTGGAGGGAAAGATCGCGCGCCATTCGAGGCGGTTTTTTTACTGCCCCCTCATTGTCCTGATATTTATATAAAAAACACGGAAAATTTTCAAACAGAGCAGCCAGACTACAAATTTCCTCCAAACAGTGAATGAATTCAACCCATCTCTCTAGCTAGTATCGAACATATGCCAGTGCACCGTCCGGGCTCGAACCCTAGTCAAAGATGCCGCAGAGGCAACAATGTTACGCCTGAGCTATCGCACCCGATCAATGAATTTGTTCGTTGGTTGGTTGGTTGGTTGGATTGTTGTTAGTGATTCCGGGCGCGTTTACTATTAAGGTCATTAGTCACGTAAGTGTAGGGCATGGGTTTTCCTCGGGAGGTGGCAGTGATCTTCACTAGCTGGATGGCGAGATCCGGCGCCAACCTACTATCGGCTAGCGGGGTTTCCCCAACCAGGTATTTCCCACCAGCAGGGCACCCAGCCGGGACAGGCTCTCTGCTGCTGACCGCTCTCCCGGCATGAGTGGTAGTGTGCAAGTTACTGTAAGTGTGAGTAAGGGGTGAGGATACAACCAGGATGAGGAAGGAAAGATCGCGCGCGGTGCATGACGCGATTGATAGGCATTCGCCTGGTGTTGATCGGATTCTCCTCTAGGCTGCGACTGAATTCGACTGAGAGTCGAAAACTGTGCCAACGTGTGGACTCAATGAATATGTAAGCGAGAGGGCTCACCTCTAACGTGAATCCGAGCGCCGCGCCCTGGTGAAGCGGGAAGCGGTACAGCATGTAGTCCTGCAGCACGCCCATCATGGCGTCGTACGGGTTGCGCATGCGCGAGCGGGGCTTCACCAGTGGGTGCAGCTCGTCCGGCAGGAAGTCCAGGCTCTCGATCTCCGTCAGCCCCAGAAGCAGTGGATACCTGCACACAAGGCAGACCAGGGCGTTTGTCGCAGTCGTTGCTTAAGTGATATGGTGGAAAGGAAGGTTTTCCACGATATATTAGGGAGTTTCAGCGCCACGTGTAAGGTAGGGTCGTTATGCGACAACAATCATGTGGACCTTGAAGTCAAAACGTCTTACCTTAAGCCAAAAGTACGAACTTTTATATTCATAGATAGTGTTCGCCTGTTTAAGTCTCTACAGTCACTTTACAAACGACAAAATGGTCGCCTAAAAAAACGAAAGGTTCTTTTTTTTTCAACTCTGATAAACCAATTCTCATGTGAAGCATTTCTTACTAATTCCACAACTCTGACAAGAATAAATTGGAAATGTTGGAAAGGGAAGAAATATGAAATTTGCCAAAAGATGTTGAAATATCTTTGGTTTAGGTTATACCTTATATTCATAACCAATGTCAATTCAAAATTTCCGACTTTATTCTCATCGCGGAAGGCCAAAAAATCTAAAACTCCGTGCACAATGTAGATTTGTTGTACTCTTGACTCGTATGGTGTTTCAAATGTCTCACACTAGCGTAGACTCTTTGATATATTTTGCAACTCGCCGTGCAAAGAATAGTTCTGATACGAGTGATAAAAGAGATATTTTATTTTGCGAGTAGAAAATAATGTTACACGAGTGGCGCAACGCTACGAGCGAAATTAAACAACTTTTACCACGCATGTCACACACTACTTTGTAGTCAGCGTTACTGACATTCAAGCATACAAGTCACCTTGTTACATTGTGGTGGGTAGTTTGTGATTCGATCAGACAGATCAAGTAATAGTTTTCTGTGTTACATTCACACTCTCATAAACATTTCAGCATCGTCTCCTTTTAGCACTAGTGCTAAAAATTCAAATTTTAGCAGGTTTTGTATGTCCTAAAAGTAAGTGTTTTAACTAAAGGCTTTTTAAAACGTACATTCATGAGTGGTCACGTGACGACACAACATAAAGTTATTATTCACACAAAGTTGGCGAACGAAAATGGTGCTCTGTTTCGATAATCTCGAGAGTAGGCTGAAACACATAATAACTCGCAATAGAAACATTTTTAAACGAAAGTAGAAAAATGTTCATATTTCGTGAGCAAACTTGGTACTTTCATGCAAACAGACTAATGCTCTTTTTGCATTTGCTTTTTGTTTGGCATGACCTTCCAGTTTCGGCAGATTTCTGTCTGCAGTGAAATAGCTGCAACTAAATCAAATGTCTTAGAAAATTTTGCAGCTCTGATATTCTAGTGGGTCGTTTGGTTTGTGATATTAATTTAAAGAGGCCTACAGAACAATACTTTTCTGGCAGACTATGGAGTTTACTTGATTTTTCCATTTCTTTAACTTTTTTGCGTTTCTACTCAATCTGTATCCACAGATTTGCGAATAGAATGATACGCCTGTTCTTGTCTGCGCTACAGTACAAGTTATTTAATATTGCGAACAGAAGAACAAGAATAGAATAAGGCTTATAAATACTCGTTGCCACAAAAATACATTTGAAGAGAACTCCCCCTTTCTCTCTCCCCCTCTCTCCCTCTCCCCCTCTCTCCCCCTCTCCCCCTCT